CGCATCCACCCCCCCACGCCCCCCACGGCGGGGGGGGGGTGGGAGAGGTTTGGTAAGAAAACCCCCCCCCCCCCATAAATTTGCCAAGGGTTGAGAAACACCATTCTACACACACGAGGGGCCCCATCAATGCTTCAGACTCTGCCTAAGGGCAGTCCCCGGCTGGGGAAGCAGGACTGAACTGAGCAGGACAAGGGAAGCTGGTGCTGGGCCTGGTCAGCAAAGGGACGTCTGTGGGCTAGGCCACCCACCCGAATGAGAGCCACAGCAGCCGTCCCAGGTCTTCACCCGGATAATGAGTCCGGGATCTAGTGATTGCTTGCTCCACGGAATTTTTGGCTTTTGCTTGAGGACACAAGAGCCCGTTTTCTAGGAAAGCATTTCCTCACTTCCCCAAGAACTCACCAGCTTTCCTCCAGATTTCCTCCGGCATGTAGCCAGACAGGGGCCTGGATACGAATTCGCGATGAGCGTCTGGGGAAATGGCAGAACAAGAAAAATCTGTTCAGAAAAGTTGGAGGAACCATCCGATTGGTATTTATTGCTTTAAAAAAACCCAAGGGTTGTGCAACGATCTGTATCAGCACCCCAACTGGACCTTTGAGAGTTGGAGGCGGGACAGCGGCTGCATCTGGTTGAGCATCTGCTTCAGGATGAACTGAGACAAGAGGGCGCCGGGCACCCAACTGCACCTGCGTACAGGCAGGGGGCAGAGTACCAGGTGGGGATCTGGGCAGCAAGGATCGGTTCATCAGGGACAAACAGCCCAACAGGTCCAATTCTGTTGAGCTCGGCAGGCTGCGCTGCCTGGAAGCCAAGTGGGTGCAAGGGAGGAAGGCCAGGGGACCCTGGTGGGCAGCAGTGTGGTCCCAAGTGGGGATCGTGCCACACGACAGCAACACAAAGACTCCTGCTCAGGAGGTGACCCCAAGTGTTTGTGCCACTCCCTTTAAGGCCGTTCCAGCCAATGGAACATGCCCATGAATCGAGGCCATGACTTCCAAGAGCTTGTTATACACTGACCGGGTTAAGCCTTGCATTAAGGCCATCATGTGGCTTGCTTTGGTCTGTCTTAATGTGTCTTAGCCCAGCCTCTCTAGTTTGCAGAACGTGGCTGATGGCTTGGCTTGTTCTGCACACCCAGCTCATTGTGGCTTGTTCAATAAACCGCAGTTCATTCAACTCTAAGTGATGCATGAGCCAGACAGTTGTGGGCTCTCTTTCACCAGATGCCCCCGTAGATGTTGATGGTATAAGAGCGAGCGAAGCGCTCTTTCCCATCCACTTGTGGTTCCCAGTGCAGCCACGGTAGATGGTGGGGTAGCCCAGTTGTCCTCTGCTCCCCGTTTCCCCTGGGAGGTCCTTCTGAGAGGAGAGGCGGGGCAGTTGGGAAGTGCCAACTTTAGAGGGCCCATGGAGGTTGGAAGGGGCACACCTCAGCAGACAAGAGCTGTTCCTGATCAAGGAGCCCCCCAAGAATCTCCCTCAGGGTCGCCTGAGGCCAGCTCCTCCCTTGCCGGGTTACCTAGAAGTGGCGCCTCGATGTTGGCAGTGCTGTTGAGGGGGCGGCTGGCAGGGCTCGACCCCTTCTTCATGTCTTCAGCGTCGCTGTAGCGGCGGATCCAGTGGTTGAGCTCCTCGCGGTCGGCTTCCTGGCAGCGGCGCAGCACGGTGAGCGACCGGCGAGTCTTCTCCACCATGTCCATGATGCAGTTCAGGAGCTGCTGGGAGGAGGCCACACATAAGAGTTTGGGCAGCCTGGGGAGGAGCTGTTCCTCAGCTCAGGCTCCCTTGAGCTTGGCGGGGTCTCCTTTTCCATTTCCAGCTCGTTGTGCAGATCACAAAGGAAGTGGGAAGGTGAGCCTCGCTCTCCATCTCCTCCGCTTCCTCCTCCTTCACCAGGTAGCTCTGAAGGAGAGGAACGTGCGTCTGCCCGGCCAGCCCCAGGATCAGCTGCAGCCGGCCAAGGGCACAACGTGGCCCTTCTCTCCTTCTCTTCTGGTCCCTCCTAAACCTGGTGGCTTACTTTTCATGCAGTGATTTACTGCAGTTTGCATCTGCTGAATGAACCAGGGCAGAAGTGATTAAAAATAAGGAGACACTCTCTCGTGTTCGTTCAGAAAAGCCGGATGCTAAATAAAGGGAAAAAGCCAGACTGATTCATCCATGTGCACAGGATCAGAGCAGGGAAGGAGAGGGCCAGTGTCGGGATTCCCAAGGCAGAAAAGGGAAGGACTGCAGCTGCTCCCATGGGTGGCCAACATCTGCAGCCTCATTTTGGTGTTTGACTTCCACCAGGCAGACAACCCTCCACCAGCAGGACCTGCTGCTGATCACTCCCAGTTGTTCTCGACCTTTTGCCAGCCTCTGCTGGTCTGATCAGAAGGCTGGGCAACAAGGTTTAACGTTCCC